AAATTGATGTCCCTATATAAGTAGCTGTAATCATCTAGGAGTCTGTTCATAAAACAATTGCACAGCAATACACCCGGTGAATGTGCCTGTCATTCCCTCTGTGTGAATGGGATGGGGGGAGTAGGCTCTGTGCTGGGCGGGGTGAATGGTTTCCATGGATATAAAATGGAGATTACCACATTTGGCAATAAGATGGTTGTAATTTCTATGATACTTAGCGCCATCTAAAGGCCAGAAAAGTATGGCATTTATTTATTGACTTTGTAAAATCATCCTTGCCTCCTAGGTGGATGCTGCACCCATCCCCCGCCGGCTCCAAGTGTGAGAACTCAGCGATCACGTGATTGCTGACCATGAGTTCTCACAGCCATTCTGAGCAGAGAGCGGTGACTGTCAGTCACCGCTCTCTGCCCTGCCCTACCCCCCCCCACACTCACTGGGCTGTGGAGGGGGAGGGTGCGGCTGGTCCAGACTCTGATGTCGGGATCTTTCCCCAGCCTGGACCGGCTGAGTGACGTCAGCTGACAGCGGGCTTCACCTGAAAACGGGTCACAGGAGTTCAGAATGAACTGCACTCCTCTGATCCACAGGAGAAGTACAGACAAAAGAGCTTTGCCTGAACTTCTCCTTCAAAGAATATGTTCCTCCAACATGTCCTATTCCTGATCTGTGCTGACTGTCCCATGTCCTGGTATGAAGACGTCTCCTCTCTCTCTTGTATTGCTTCCTTTATGTGAGATGTGATCCTGCCAGTCCCTCTGGTTTCCTATTAAAAAACTGACCGCACTAGGCATGAGAGCTCAGCATGGTCAGTTTTGTAGCTGTGTTGGGAGCTTGGTCTGCTCTCCTCCAATCATCAGACTTGTCCTGACATCCCCCCTCCCTGCACAGCCATTCACTGGGAAGACCAATGAACAGAAGACAAGTGATCACATGAATAGTAGTAAGGAGAATGTCACTTCCTGATATCATTGCTTACTACTAGTGAAATCTGTGAATGATCACTGAGATCACATGGTACAGGGCTATTCTCAACAGCCTTGTACCATGTAACAAGCTGTGACCAATCACAGCTCTCACAGTATTTCTCAATGGCTGCAGGAATGCAGTCAGAGAGAAGGCGAAATGATTGATTTTACAGCCTTTATGGGTGTAAAAAAAAAAAAATAATAATATAAAAAAAAAATGTAAATTTTTTTTTTGAAAAATTATAATTTTTTGGTTATAAACTAATTTGTTTTGTTTTTACTAAAAAGATATCTGAATACATTTTGGACAATATTTACGAAGAAAGATTATTTATTTGCAACATTTTGTAAGATAAACACTTTTTTTTTCAAAGTTTTTGGACATTTTCATTTATATAGCAAAAAAAAAAAAAAAATTCCAGCGGTGAATAAATACCACCAAAATAAAGTTTTATGGGTCTCAGAGTGCGGGAGTGTGACCTCAGAGTGCGGGAGTGTGTGACCTCAGTGTGCGGGAGTGTGACCTCAGAGTGCGGGAGTGTGACCTCAGAGTGCGGGAGGGAGTGTGAGTGCGGGAGTGTGACCTCAGAGTGCGGGAGTGTGATCTCAGGGTGCGGGAGTGTGACCTCAGAGTGCGGGAGTGTGACCTCAGAGTGCGGGAGTGTGACCTCAGAGTGCGGGGTGGGACCTGACCTCAGTGTGACCTCAGGGAGTGGACCTCAGACGTGTGACCTCAGAGTGCGGGAGTGTGATCTCAGGGTGCGGGAATGTGACCTCAGAGTGCGGGGGTGTGACCTCAGGGTGCGGGAGTGTGACCTCAGAGTGCGGGAGTGTGACCTCAGGGTGCGGGAGTGTGACCTCAGGTGCGGGGAGTGTGACTCAGGGTGCGGGAGTGTGACCTCAGAGTGCGGGGCAGTGTGACCTCAGAGTGCAGGAGGGAGTGGTGTGACCTCAGAGTGCGGGGTGTGACCTCAGAGTGCAGGAGTGTGACCACCTGAGTGCGGGAGTGTGACCTCAGGGTGCGGGAGTGTGACCTCAGAGTGCGGGAGTGTGATCCTCAGAGTGCGGGAGTGTGACCTCAGAGTGCGGGAGTGTGACCTCAGAGTGCGGGGGTGTGACCTCAGAGTGCGGGAGTGTGACCTCAGAGTGCGGGAGTGTGTGACTCAGGGTGCGGGAGGGAATGTGACCTCAGAGTGCGGGAGTGTGATCTCAGGGTGCGGGAGTGTGACCTCAGAGTGCGGGAGTGTGACCTCAGGTGCGGGAGTGTGACCTCAGGTGCGGGAGTGTGACCTCAGGGTGCGGGAGTGTGACCTCAGGTGCGGGAGTGTGACCTCAGGTGCGGGAGTGTGACCTCAGGGTGCGGGAGTGTGACCTCAGGGTGCGGGAGTGTGACCTCAGAGTGCGGGAGTGTGACCTCAGAGTGCGGGAGTGTGACCTCAGAGTGCGGGAGTGTGACCTCAGAGTGCGGGGGTGTGACCTCAGAGTGCGGGAGTGTGACCTCAGAGTGCGGGAGTGACCTCAGAGTGCGGGAGTGTGACCTCAGGGAGGGAGTGTGACCTCAGGGTGCGGGAGTGTGACCTCAGAGTGCGGGGGTGTGTGACCTCAGAGTGCGGGAGTGTGACCTCAGAGTGCGGGAGTGTGACCTCAGAGTGCGGGGAGTGTGACCTCAGAGTGCGGACCTAGTGCGGGAGTGTGATCTCAGGGTGCGGGAATGTGACCTCAGTGCGGGAGTGTGACCTCAGGGTGCGGGAGTGTGACCTCAGGGTGCGGGAGGGGTGTGTGACCTCAGGTGCGGGTGCGGAGAGTGTGACCTCAGGGTGGGGAGTGTGACCTCAGAGTGTGGGAGTGTGACCTCAGAGTGCGGGAGGTGACCTCAGAGTGCGGGGAGTGTGACCTCAGAGTGCGGGAGTGTGACCTCAGAGTGCGGGAGTGTGACCTCAGGTGCGGGAGTGTGACCTCAGAGTGTGGCCTCAGAGTGGAGTGTGACCTCAGAGGGGAGTGTGACCTCAGAGTGTGGGAGTGTGAGGGTGCGGGAGTGTGACTCTCAGGGTGCGGGAGTGTGATCTCAGGGTGCGGGAGTGTGACCTCAGAGTGCGGGGGTGTGACCTCAGAGTGCGGGAGTGTGACCTCAGAGTGCGGGAGTGTGACCTGAGTGTGAGTGGGGTGCGGGAGTGTGACCTCAGAGTGCGGGAGTGTGATCTCAGGGTGCGGGATGTGACCTCAGAGGGCGGGAGTGTGACCTCAGGGTGCGGGAGTGTGTGACCTCAGGGTGCGGGAGTGTGACCTCAGGGTGCGGGAGTGTGACCTCAGGGTGCGGGAGTGTGACCTCAGGTGCGGGAGGGAGTGTGACCTCAGGGTGCGGGAGTGTGACCTCAGGGTGCGGGAGTGTAACCTCAGGGTGCGGGAGTGTGACCTCAGGGTGCGGGAGTGTGACCTCAGGGTGCGGGAGTGTGACCTCAGAGTGTGGGAGTATGACCTCAGGGATTAGTATGAGCCGTGTCTGATGAAGGAAACCAAGGGCTCTATTTATAGAACATTCATTGGACCAATGAGACAATCATTCCTCCAGCTGTGACAACATCCGGCCCTATGTTAAGTAACACAGTGATTTCCTATGATCGCCGGCTCCATCTAGTGGCCACAATGAGGTGATATTTCTGAAATCTCTCCATCAGTAAAACTAGCCCAATATGATATTATGGCCACTAGATGGAGCCAATGATCATAAGAAATAAAAATACGGCCAAAACTCCTCCCAGCTGGAGAATGCCGGTCACATCCGTTCAACATTGTTCTCCATAGACCTCCAAGTGTTTGTGAAATCTCCCACCACAAAATGTACTCAGCCAATCACAGGGCAGGACTCCATTTTTATTCTTCTCCTGCCATCAATAGCCAACCCGGTCCCACACACTTCATCCATGTCTTTGGGGACCTCTGATCTCCTTATGAACTGTTTCTTCCATGATGAAGATCAGCCATGAGGTATACAGGTGAAATTGGAAAAATTAGAATAAGGTGCAAAAGTTGATTTATTTCAGTGCAGCAACTTAAAAGGTGAAACTAATATATGACTTCATTTTCCAGCAGGACTTGGCTCCGCCCACACTGCCAAAAGCACCACCAAACCTGGTTCAATGACCGTGGGATTACTGTGATTGATTGGCCAGCAAACTTGCCTGACCTGAACCCCATAGAGAATCTATGGGGCATTGCCAAGAGAAAGATGAGAGACATGAGACCGAACAATGCAGAAGAGCTGAAGGCCGCTATTGAAGCATCCTGGTCTTCCATAACACCTCAGCAGTGCCACAGGCTGATAGCTTCCATGCCACGCCGCATTGAGGCAGTAATTGCTGCAAAAGGGGCCCAAACCAAGTACTGAGCACATATGCAGCTTCTACTTTTCAGAGGTCCGATATTGTTCTATGTACAATCCGTGTTTTATTGATTGCATGGAATATTCTCATTTTCTGAGATTGTGGATTTGGGGTTTTCATGAGCTGTAAGCCATAATCATCACAATGATGACAAATCACGGCTTGAACTATCTTGCTTTGCATGGAATGAGTCTCATATATTAGTTTCACCTTTTAAGTTGCTGCACTGAAATAAATGAACTTTTGCACCATCTGAGGTGTATATCAGGGTGTGCTTCTTCCCCACATGACAGCTGGGATGTCCAGCAACATTCATCTAGAAGACATTTCCCGCACACACAACGCACTAATACACCTCCAGGGTTGTGTTGGACCCCTGATGTACAGGAAGACAGGACTTCAGAGAGGAACATTTCCCTCACTCAGGACAGGAAAGTGGCTTCTCCCCTGTGTGAGATCTCTGATGTATGTGAAGACTGAACGTCCGTGAAAAAACATTTCCTGCATTCAGGACAGGAATATGGCTTCTCCCCCGTGTGAGATCTCTGATGTTTGTGCAGACTGGACTTCTCTGAAAAACATTTCCCGCACTCAGGACAGGAATATGGTTTCTCCCCTGTGTGAGATCTCTGATGTATGTGAAGACTGAACTTCATTGAAAAACATTTCCCGCACTCAGGACAGGAATATGGCTTCTCCCCTGTGTGTGAGATCTTTGATGTGTGTGCAGCCTGCACATCTGTGAAAAACATTTCCCACACTCAGGACAGGAATATGGCTTCTTTCCCATGTGAGAGCTCCGATGTTTGTGCAGATTGGACATATCTGAAAAACATTTTCCACACTCGGGACAGGAATACGGCTTCTCCCCCGTGTGAGATCTCTGATGTATATGAAGACTGCACTTCTTCCGCGAAAAACATTTCCCGCACTCAGAACAGGAATATGGCTTCTCCCCCGTGTGAAATCTCTGATGTTTGTGCAGACTGGACTTCTCTGAAAAAAATTTCCCACACTCAGGACAGGAATATGGCTTCTCCCCCGTGTGAGATCTTTGATGTTTATAAAGTTGGTACATCTGTGAAAAACATTTACTGCACTCAGGACAAGAATACGGCTTCTCCCCCGTGTGAAATCTTTTATGCACATTAAGAATGGATTTAAAACAGAAATCCTTCCCGCACTCAGGACAGGAATACGGCTTCTCACCTGTATGAAATCGCTTATGTCTATAAAGACTGGACTTCTGTGAAAAACATTTCCCGCACTCAAGACAGGGATACGGCTTATCCCCCGTGTGAGATCTCTGATGTGTGTAAAGATTGTAATTCCTTGAAAAACATTTCCCGCACACAGGACAGGAATACAGTTTCTCCCCCGGGTGAGATGTTTTATGCACTATAAGATTGGATTTAGAACGGAACCTCTTCCCGCACTCAGGACAAGAATATGGCTTCTCCCCTGTGTGAGATCTCTGATGTGTGTAAAGATTGGACTTCTGTGAAAAACATTTCCCGCACTCAGAACAGGAATATGGCTTCTCCGCTGTGTGAGATCTCTGATGTCTGTAAAGACTGGACTTCACTGAAAAACATTTCCCGCACTCAGAACAGGAATACGGCTTCTCCCCCGTGTGAGATCTCTGATGTATGTCAAGATGGCACTTATGTAAAAAACATTTCCCACACTCTGGACAGGAATATGGCTTCTCCCCCGTGTGGCATCTTTTATGCCTATTAAGTTGGGATTTATATTGGAAACCTTTCCCGCACTCAGTACAGGAGAACCTCTTCCCTGTTAGAAGGCCGGCCCGGTCCTGCACAGTCTGAGGTTCCTCAGGATACGAGGAATCCGATGGTCCATCTACACACTGGGTGGTGCCGGATGGACACATTGGAGGGAGCCCGGGTTTTCTCCTGGACTATACTACTGTGTGATGTCCTCATCTTCTACTTTCCAGTCTGGAGACAAAGTGAGACAATCCTCGGAGGTTTTCCTCATCTCCCGGCCATGGACTAAAATACAAAGACAAAGAGGATTACTAGACAGGAGCTGATTGGTTCCCCCAAACCAGGACTCCGCCCACATCAGGCAGCTTGGTCTCTGAGGAGCTTACAATTCCACCCTCAAGGGAACTAGGAAATGGCTCCTCTGATCTCCTACCAGGTCATTTCTTTATTCATGGACCTTAGTCAGAGAGTGAGGAAACAACCAGAACTGTCTTTTATAGGAGGGACAGTGATGAGGGGATTATAGGACGAGGGTCCCCACCCCCTCTATCACTCATCGCCATCTTCCCAACACAAGAAGTACTGCACTTCCTTATTTAGTCCATGATTTAGTCATGAAGAACAGCGGGGCTGAGCCCCACCAGAGGTCAGAGAGTGAGGATGGGGGGGGGAGAACAACCAAGATGAAGACTGGACTGATCCTGAAGACCACCATCATTGGGGTATTGACTCCTCCCTCATTATCACTTTCTGTTTAAGGGTCCAAAGTTGGAGGATGTTATCACATTATTATCACCATGTAAAAGTCTGTGCTCCAATCACATCATCCGATATAAAATGTCCAGCTGGGAGGAAACGGGTGGAACAAAAGAGAATCCATATTATGTGTATATATAGTAGTGGGGGGAGGGGGGAGAGCAGAAGTCAGGAGTATGTAATGTACAACATAGAGTATATAGTGCAGGGGTTCAGGGTATGTAATGTGCAACATAGAGTATATAGTGTGCAGGGGTCAGGAGTATGTAATGTACAACATAGAGTATATAGTGCAGGGGTCAGGGGTATGTAATGTATAGAGTATATAGTGCAGGGGTCAGGAGTATGTAATGTACAACATAGATTATATAGTGCAGGGGTCAGGAGTATGTAATGTACAACATACAGTATATAGTGCAGGGGTCAGGAGTATGTAATGTACAACATAGTGTATATAGTGCAGGGGTCAGGAGTATGTAATGTACAGGAGTATATAGTAGTAGGGGTGGAGTATGTAATGTACAACATAGAGTATATAGTGCAGGGGTCTAAAGTATGGAATATACAACATAGAATATATGGTTCAGGGGTCAGGAGTATTAATGTACAACAGAGTATATAGTGCAGGGGTCAGGAGTATGTACTGTACAACACAGAGTATATAGTGCAGGGGTCAGGAGTATGTACTGTACAACACAGAGTATATAGTGCAGGGGTCAGGAGGATGTCATGTATAACAGAGTATATAGTGCAGGGGTCAGGAGTATGTAATGTACAACAGAGTATATAGTGCAGGGGTCAGGAGTATGTAATGTACAACACAGAGTATATAGTGCAGGGGTCAGGAGTATGTACTGTACAACACAGAGTATATAGTGCAGGGGTCAGGAGTATGTAATGTACAACACAGAGTATATAGTGCAGGGGTCAGGAGTATGTAATGTACAACATAGAGTATATAGTGCAGGGGTCAGGAGGATGTAATGTATAACAGAGTATATAGTGCAGGGGTCAGGAGTATGTAATGTACAACAGAGTATATAGTGCAGGGGTGGCTGTGGACGTGGTATAATTGGAGAGAGGGGTGGCGGTGGACGTGGTATACGTGGACAGAGGGGTGATTGTGTACATGGTATACTTGGACAGAGGAGTGCCTGCTCCTCTTCCAAACCCACCCCCCTGGTGCCTGTGTCTTTCTGTGTCCCTCTCCTCATCCTGTTTCAGCCTTTGAAGATAGACTGCAATGGATGAGGGGGGTCACCTCACCCCCCGGCCCTTGTCGCCTCCTCACATCTTGATGCAGCCTTTGAAGGCAGGCCACGCAGGATGGGAGGGAAGTGACCCCTGCGGCGAATTTCACGCCTCTACGGCCGCATAGCCAAGGAGGGGTGAAACCCTGCTTAGAGATTCCGGGGTGGGGCTGCCAACAAGTTGACGCGTGCCCCCTGGCAGTTACAGCGCGGGCCCGTGACTTTCCTTTTCTCTGTCCCTGCCAGGAGACAAAGGCCGTGCTCACGAGAGAGTGGCCGAGTCAAGGGGGCATGCCTCGTTGCCCCGGCAATGCGGCACTGGGCCGGATTTTGCCGGGGCAACCGGGAAGCTTCCTGGCTGCTGCCAGGCCAGCGCGGGACCCGGTCGTCTGTCTTCTGTCTCTGTCGTTGCTGGACTCGCAAGCCATCTGGAGGTCTGAGTGGGGACCAGACCTCCGCAGCCATCCCCGCTGAGCACTCTGCAGGAGACCCCCCCAAAGGTAAGGACTATTATCCACTGCCTCTCTGCAGAATACTCCAGGGTTGGGAGTACCCACTGTCCTCTGCTAATACTTCAGAGCTGGGAGTATCCGCTGCCACCCCACTAATACTCCAGGGCTGGGAGTACCTGCTGTTACTCTGCTAATTCTCTGGGCTAGAACTGCTTTGCTGTGGGCCCCACAATATTCTGCCTAATACTCTGGGGCCCGGATTACCCGCCATGCTGTGTGCTAGAACTGCTTTGCTGTGGGCCCCACAATATTCTGCCTAATACTCTGGGGCCCAGATTACCCACCATGCTGTGTGCTAGAACTGCTTTGCTGTGGGTCCCACAATTCTGCCTAATACTCTGGGGCCCAGATTACCCACCGTGCTGTGTGCTAGAACTGCTTTGCTGTGGGTCCCACAATACTCTGTCTAATACTCTGGGGCCCAGATTACCCGCTGTACTAGATCTGCTTTGCTGTGAGCCCCACGATACTCTGCCTAATACTCTGGGGCCCGGATTACCCACTGTGCTGTGTGCTAGAACTGCTTTGCTGTGGGCCCATGATACTCTGCCTAATACTCTGGGGCCCGGATTACCCGCTCTGCTGTGTGCTGAGGTTTGCCCCCCTGCTGTCGCCTGCTGTGAGCCAGAACATCCCTGCCAGAACCATGAGTGTCTGCAAGCCGCCTACCTTCCAAGGAAGCCGACTGCTGCTGAGTGTCCGCAACCTGCCTATCGTGAGTGTCCCTAGAAGCCATGATCTGCCCCTATTGTGTGCTCAGACCCCCCTTGTCATGATCTGCCCCTATTGTGTTCTCAGACCGCCCTGTCATGAACTGCCCGTATTGTGTGCTCAGACCCCCCTTGTCATGGACTGCCCCTATTGTGCGCTCAGACCCCCCTTGTCATGAACTGCCCCTATTGTGTGCTCAGACCCCCCTTGTCATGAACTATATTGTGCGCTCGGACCGCCCTTGTCATGATCCGCCCCTATTGTGTGCTCAGACCGCCCTTGTCATGAACTGCCCCTATTGTGTGCTCAGACTACACTTGCCATGGACTGCCCCATTGTGCCCCCTTGTTATAGCTACCTGGACTGCCCCCCTGAGTTCTTGAGCCATCCACTACCTGAATCAGGTCCCACAGCCAAAGTCCCGCGGAGTCCCCGTGAGCCTGATGTCCCTAGAGAGCTGTGCTGAAGTCAGACCCCACAGCCAAGGTCCCACTGACTCCCCGTGAGCTGCTGTTGTCCCTAAAGAGTTGTGTGAGAGAGCTGTGCGGAGGTCAGACCCCACAGCCAAGGTCACACACTGAGTCCCCGTGAGCCTGGTGTTGCCCCTAGAGAGCTGTGTTGGAGCTGTTCTGAGGTCAGACCCCACAGACAAGGTCAAAGTGAGTCCTAGTGAGCCTGCTGTTGTCCCTAGAGAGCTGTGTGAGAGCTGTGTGGAGGTCAGACCCCACAGCCAAGGTCCCACTGAGTACCCGTGAGCATGGTGTTGCCCCCTAGAGAGCTGTGTGGGAGCTGTGCTGAGATAAGACCCCACAGCCAAGGTCCCGTTGAGTCTTCATGAGCCCGCTTACCGTGAGTGTCCCTACCAGCCACATGTTGTGGAGTGCCATGAACTGCCCTGATTGAGTGTCTTCCATAGGTAAATAAAGCTTTTTGTGTTTACCACTGTGGACATGGTATACTTGAACAGAGGGGTGGTGGTGGACATGGTATACTTGAACAGAGGGGTGTGGTGGTGACGTGGTATACTTGGACAGAGGGGTGGCGGTGGACGTGGTTACTTGGACAGAGGGGTGGCGGCGGGTGGACGTGGTACACTTGGACAGAGGGGTGGCGGTGGACGTGGTACACTTGGACAGAGCGGTGGCGGTGGACGTGGTACACTTGGACAGAGGGATGGCGGTGGACATGGTATACTTGGACAGAGCGGTGTGGCAGTGGACAGATATTTGGACAGAGGGGGTGGCGGTGGACGTGGTATACTTGGACAGAGGGTGGTGGCGGTGGACGTGGTATACTTGAACAGAGGGGTGGTGGTGGACGTGGTATACTTGGACAGAGGGGTGGTGGTTGACATGGTATACTTGAACAGAGGGGTGGTGGTGGACGTGGTATACTTGGACAGAGGGGTGGCGTGTGGACGTGGTATACTTGGACAGAGGGGTGGTGGTGGACGTGGTACACTTGGACAGAGGGGTGGCGGTGGACGTGGTACACTTGGACAGAGCGGGTGGCGGTGGACGTGGTACACTTGCAGAGGGATGGCGGTGGACATGGTATACTTGGACAGAGCGGTGGCAGTGGACATAGTATACTTGGACAGAGGGGTGGCGGGCGGTGGACGTGGTATACTTGGACAGAGGGGTGGCGGTGGACGTGGTATACTTGGACAGAGGGGTGGGCGGTGGACGTGGTATACTTGGACAGAGGGGTGATGTGGACGTGGTATACTTGGACAGAGGGGTGGTGGTGGATGTGGTATACTTGGACAGAGGGGTGGCGGTGGATGTGGTATACTTGGACAGAGGAGTGGCTGTGGATGTGGTAGACTTGGACAGAGGGGTGGCGGTGGACGTGGTATACTTGGACAGAGGGGTGGCGGTGGGACGTGGTATATACTTGGACAGAGGGGTGGTGGTGGTGGACGTGGTATACTTGGACAGAGGGGTGGTGGTGGATGTGGTATACTTGGACAGAGGGGTGGTGGTGGATGGTGTATACTTGGACAGAGGAGTGGCTGTGGATGTGGTAGACTTGGACAGAGGGGTGGCGGTGGACGTGGTATACTTGGACAGAGGGGTGGCGGTGGACGTGGTATACTTGGACAGAGGGGTGGTGGTGGACGTGGTATACTTGGACAGAGGGTGTGGTGGATGTGGTATACTTGGACAGAGGGGTGGTGGTGGACGTGGTACACTTGGACAGAGGGGTGGCGGTGGACGTGGTACACTTGGACAGAGGGGTGGCGGTGGACGTGGTATACTTGGACAGAGCGGGGGTGGCAGTGGACATAGTATACTTGGACAGAGGGGTGGCGGCGGTGGGACGTGATATACTTGGACAGAGGGGTGGCGGGTGGACGTGGTATACTTGGACAGAGGAGTGGAGGTGGACTTGGTATGCTTGGACAGAGGGGTGGCTGTGAATGTGGTATACTTGGACAGAGGGGTGGCGGTGGATGTGGTATACTTTGGACAGAGGAGTGGCGGTGGATGTGGTATACTTGGACAGAGGGGTGGCGGTGGATGATGTGGTATACTTGGACAGGGGGGTGGGTAGACGTGGTGGATACTTGGACAGAGGGGGTGGTGGTAGTGTGGTATACTTGGACAGAGGGGTGGGGTGGACGTGGTATACTTGGACAGAGGGGTGGCGGGGACGTGGTATACACAGTGGGTGGACGTGGTATACTTGGACACAGTTCCCCACACACGGCTAATGTGTAAGGTAAAGTCTATGGGCTGGAAAAATCTGAATGTAAATGGATAGAAAACTGGCTAAAAGATCGTATTCAGAGAGTAGTGGTTAAAGATGTCAGTGGGGTACCCCAAGGTTCAGTGTTATTAGTGGGGTACCCCAGGTTCAGTGTTATTAGTAGGGTACCCAAAGATTCAGTGTTGTTAGTGGGGTACACCAAGGTTCAGAGTTATTAGTGGGGGTATATAGCAAGTGAGCATACAGAGATGGACGCGGTCATCCATCTTGTATCATTTCTATTCCCAAATCGGCTTCCCTCCAATTTCCCCCCCTCCCTCAGGAATGTGGTCTGTATAATACCAGAGATCACAGGCACAGTGGGACAGCTCATGGTTATAAATCCCACCCTAGCTGGTGCCCGGATGTCTGTAAGCTTCTCAATCTGAGATATCGTAAAACCATAAACTAGTCCTTCACTGAGCTTCAAAGACATTCCAGCTAGCTATAAAACAGACTCACATTTAAAAATCCCCTTTTCCGTATAATTTTATATCTGGAGATATGGAAGACTTACATAAAAACCAGGAATATATTCAGATCGGTCACTTTAATACAAGTCGTCTGATACCTTACACCCCTTAGTTGGAATCTACAGGAGAGCAGAAAACGACATCTCCTTAACCGTCCCAAGCAGGTATGTCATATTTAATATCTAGACGTTCAGCAGATCATTCTGCATATTAATCTACTAGTGGCTAGGCTGCTACATGCACCGAGGGTAAGTTATGAATCATGATATAAATTGCGAGAGATTTTGGTTCTAGCTTGGGTCTCCACCTGCAACACCCTCCCCACATGAGGCGATTGGTTCTCTGCTTGAAGGAGACACCCTGCTGAGTTCCTAGAAAGGCTGTTATGCTTGCAGCAGAAAGTTAAGTTGAGTAGTTCGGGTTGAAGTTGAAGAATCCTCCCTTTTAACATCGGAAATAACTTTGGGAGATAAGGCACCCTTTTGGCTCAGGACCCTCGAATCTGCTTAACCCAGGACTTTTGGCAAGTACTCTACCTCCCCAAACTTTATTTCTGTTATCTCTTTGCTGTGTTATTGCTCTCTCTCTATTTTTATATATATATATATATATATATATATATAGTCTACATCTTTTTCTGTAAATATTTTTATCGCACCCTTTTGACCTTTTAGTAATAAATCTTATTTTCTGAAAGTGTTGAACTGTTTCTAAAGCTCTTTAATGCAAACTAAGAATCCCTGTCTCTGAAGAGCGCTACTGTGTGTGTTTAAACCTCTATATATCTCTGTCTGCGGTGACAGTGGTATACAGACGATTATTCAACATCATAGTGTTATTGCTGATATTGCCGAGTTTCCTCTTTCTCTGTACAAAAAGGAGGTGGTGGCAGTGTGAAGGGTTAATTGTGTAATTAACCTGACCCAGTAACAATCGCTCTCAGGCTGCAGGTACACAGATTGTGGTCCATTAGCTGGACAATCTTTGTGCAGGGTGCAGCTGGGCGTGGCATTGTTACACACGTGTCAGCACGGTTTTAGATTAGCCAGTCCTTCGGTCACGAGTTTGGTGAGAGAAGGGCTGGGGTCTGACGCTGTGATCGTCACAGGGTACCCAAGGGTTAGAAGTCGGACTCCAAGGTTCAGTGTTAGTGGGGTACCCTGAGGTTCAATGTTATTAGTGGGGGATGCCAAGGTTCAATGTTGTTAGTGGGGTATCCCAAGGTTAAGTGTTATTAGTAGGGTACCCCAAGGTTTAAATGTTATTAGTGGGGTTCCCCAAGGTTCAGTGTTATTAGTGGGGTACCCCAGGGTTCAGTGTTATTAGTGGGGTACCCCAAGGCTCGTTCCTAACCTTGGAAACCACTAAGCAACTTATTCACTCCCTGGTTATCTCTCACTTTGACTATTGTAACTCCCTCCTCATTGGCCGACCTCATCGTAGGCTATCCCCTCTTCAGTCTATCATGAATGCTGCTGCCAGACTCATCCACCTTACTAACTGTTCCGTATCTGCCACCCCTCTCTGCCAATCCCCATTTAGTGTCCTCCACTGGCCTCCATTTAGTGTCCTCCACCCCTCTCTGCCAATCCCTCCACTGGCCTCCATTTAGTGTCCTCCATCCCTCTCTGCCAATCCCTCCACTGACCTCCATTCAGTGTCCTCCACCCCTCTCTGCCAATCCCTCCACTGGCCTCCATTCAGTGTCCTCCATCCCTCTCTGCCAATCCCTCCACTGGCCCATCCATCCCTCTCTCTGACAATCCCTCCACTGGCCTCCATTTGGTATCATCCACCCTTCTCTGCCAATCCCTCCACTGGCCTCCACTCAGTGTCCTCCACCCCTCTCTGCCAATCCCTCCATTGACCTCCACTCAGTGTCCTCCACCCCTCTCTGCCAATCCCTCCACTGGCTTCCATTCAGTGCCCCCCCCCTCTGCCAATCCCTCCACTGGCTTCCATTCAGTGCCCCCCCCCCCTCTGCCAATCCCTCCACTGGCCTCCACTCAGTGTTCTCCACCCCTATCACGGTTCACCCGCATGCCACGCGCACAGCAACTAGCTAACCGAGGCATGCACGTGCGGCTGTGACTTGGGGTAAGAGGGAATAAGGGGGACTTAACTTTTAATATATCTATGACTATAAGACAGGCAGTGATACTTTCACAGCATGTATTACAACTTGGCCACCACCAGACGGAGCCTCCACTCCAATCCAGCTAGTTGACCACACACTGGCAGATACAAATCTTATATACAATCTGGTGCACTGATTAGAGTTGAGGAGCAGTTTAGCAATCACACCCTTCTGGGATCGCTCCAGCTATCCTACAAGCCAGAACCCCGGTGTTAATCACTCCTCCACTGTTCACACACCTCCACACCAGACACACAAACAAACGGTAGTTTGCCACCAACCAGCAGTTTATCCGCAGAACGGTCTATTGGGACACCACACACAAACAGATCTCCATTTGGCAGATCTGTTACCTTTACAATCTGCATGCAATCTGCCAACATGCAGTGCAATTGCATAGAGATTGGCAATGAGCTTGACCGAGCGTTTAAAGGCACTAAAATACAATACAATCTAATCTCTCCAATCTAATCTCTCCGGAGATATGAGCCCGAGCTTAAGTACCCAGAAGTCACTTATTAATTTTAAGATTTAATATCCCGAAAGTGGGGAGTGCATAAAATATGTACAAAGTATACAAACTTACAGAAAATACAACAAATACAAGAAGACACATAAATGACTATTCACTATAAAATATAAGAGAATAAATAAAAGAAATAAAACTTTTACCGAGATCTATCCTGCGACTGGAGCAAGTCAGAGAAAGTCCACGATCCGCCAGTCAAATAGAACTGGCTCCATACAAATCACCCTGTCCATATCTCAGGGTCCTCAATTTATGGGAATATGGACGTGAGATGGACATTAGTTCTTGGCCAATTGACTCTGGGGGGTATTTGACCGGGGGTATTCCTGTATCCGCCCACACAATGTTCTGGGTGCTGAACTGCCCAAAGTCAACTGGACCAGAACGGCTTGAATCACTAAGTCAGGGATTGAATTTCCAACACCAACGCATCAGTCCGATCGCGACAGTACCAATCACTACTCCACTATCGCACTTCAGCGCCACCTAACCATTTCCTGCATTTTTCTGAGGTTCTACATAGGCCACAAATATAGTTTTTATATGCCACTGTAGCCTACAGAGTGCCCCATCAGAAGGAAGTATTTTCATCTCTCTGCAACTAATATTTTAGCTTTTATGAGAGATGAAACATTTTCTTTGATCTGATATACTTCAAAGCTCTGGTCTCCCGCTGTCATGAAGCCAACCTGTCTCCAGCCGTTTCATTCCAGGTTTCCCCAGAAGGTGACAAATCTTATTAGCACCCAGGTGCCACTTCCAGCCTGAGGAAGCTGCTCTGTCTCTTTTCAGATGCTAATGGGTTACCATCTGTGTCTGAGAACCTATGGCTGAAATTTCCTTAATGACAAAGAATGAACAAAATTTAAGATTACATATTGCTACAGGTCACATCTTATCTAATCAAATCTGTACATTTATGTCACAACCCCTCTCTGCCAATCCCTCCACTGGCCTCCCTTCAGTGTCCTCCACCCCTCTCTGCCAATCCCTCCACTTTCCTCCATTCAGTGTCCTCCAAACCCTCTCTGCCAATCCCTCTACCGGCCTCCATTTAGTGTCCTCCATCCCTCTCTGTCAATCATTCCACCAGCCTCTATTCAGTGTCCTCCACCCCCCTCTCTGCCAATCCCTCTACTGGCCTCCATTCAGTGTCCTCCACCCCTCTCTGCCAATCCCTCCACTGGCTTCCCATTGCCCAACGGATACAATTCAAAACATTAACAATAACATATAAAGCCATTTATAACTCTGCCCCAAATTACATCACTGATCTTGTCTCTAAATATCACCCAAACCATACTCTCCGCTCCTCACAAGACCTCCTACTCTCTAGCTCCCTTGTCTCCAGGACTTCTCCAGAGCTTCCCCCATCCTCTGGAACTCTCTACCCCAATTTATCAGACTATCGCCTACTCTGCTCACTTTTAGGTGATCTCTGAAAACCTCTCTCTTCAGGGAAGCCTATCCTGCCCTCAGCTAATAATGGAATCTTCTACTCCTCCTACCAGTCCATCCCCCACAGTTACTACCTTTTGTACCACTAGCCCCTCCCTCCTAGATTGTAAGCTCCCAGAATCAAGGCCTCCTATCCCTCTTGTATTGAACTGTATTGTTGCTGTATTGTCTCCCGTTATATTGTAAAGCGCTGAGCACACTGTTGGCGCCATAAATCCTGTATAATAATAATAATAAGGCTCAGTGTTATTAGTAGGGGTCCCCAAGGTTCAGTGTCAACAGTGGTGTACCCTAAGGTTCAGTGTTATTAGTGGGGTACCCCAAGGGTGTTATTAGTTGTGTACCCCAAGGTCAGTGTTATTAGTGGGGTACCCCAAGGTTCAGTGTTATTAGTGGGGTACCCCAAGGTTCAGTGTTATTAGCTGGTTCCCGCCCGGCCTATGGTCAGATGGTGGCCGTGCGAGCACCTCGTCCCTCCGGGTGGAAGCCATATGGCGTCCTTCCAGGCATGCGCAGTTTGCATGCCCACAGAGCCACGCAGCGGCGCGATCTGTCACTGACCATGTACTTCGGACACAGCCAGTGACAGATCTGTGTACCGGTCCTGTTGCCAGTACCATGTGACCTGCTGTGACCAATCAAAGCAGGTCACACATGACAATTGTATACAAAGGATGGCTTCCTTTCATGCCATCCATTGTATACAAGTGTCTAGCTGTGAATGGTCACAGAGATCACAAGCTAGGCCAATCACAGCCCCTCTCTGCCAATCAGCTTTGTCATGTGATTAGACATGGCCAAATCACAGCTAAGACCAAAAAAAAAAAAAACCACTGAATGAATCATTTTCATTCAGGCAAATGCTTGCTTATAGCAAAGCAATTCTTTGCTATAAGGAAATTGTGTAAAAAAAAAAAAAGATACTGATCACTTCCCCAAAGTAGTACAATGTTACTATGGTAATATTATACTACTTTGGTCATAGTGAAACATGAACAAAAATCTTAAAAAAACGAGAAAAAAATGTAATAAAAAATAAAAAAAATAAATAAATATATCAATTTTTTTTTCTGTGCTGTCACCAGTCAGTTCCCTGATCACCGCCATGCCAGTTATATGATGACGCTGTACTGCTCTGGTGACAGGATGTAACAAAAAATACAGAAAATCATTTTATTTCTTCCTTTCTGAAAAAATTATGACAAAAAAATTAAAACTTAAAAAACTTGCCATGCCTCATAAAATACCTCAGACTGTCTACTACAATATTGGCCACCACAGACGGAGGCCTCCACTGCAAAAATGGGTCATTTGGGGGATATCTGTACTATTTTAAATTTGTGTATATCACCTACCCCAAAAGCCCTCAAAAAGTCACGCTTTCTCCCCAGAAAGCAACACAGTATTATAACCTTTTTGAAAAATATATATAAACAAATTCAAATAAATAAATATAAAATAAAATCCAAACACTTAAATATAATAATAAAATTAATAATAAAATTCCAAATAAAAAAAAATAAAAATAATAAAAAAGTCCAATGCAAAGTGTCCCAAAATGTCCAATATAACCAAAAATAGTGTCAAACAGAAATGGTGTCCAAAAATTGTCCAAATATCCCGAATTTAATTCATCCAGTCAGAAGAAATTCCCTTCCATCCCGTAATACCTCGAAAAAACAAATTCAAAAATCTAGTGCATTACCTTAATACATAATTATATTCTCTCCGTGCAAACACAAAAACACAAAAATGTGCAAACACTATAAAATATGTGTATCTCTTTCCGTGCACATGTGAATAAACTGTGACCACTCAGTGAAAACTGCAACACTGTGTTCCACCAGACCAATAGTATTAGATACTATTACCCTCTGTATCCAATACAGTTGTGACCAAAATTATTCAACCCCCAATGCTGTAAAGGGGTTTAGGGACTATTGTACATTTGGAATTGTATTCAGAATCAAATCCTACAAGGACGTTGTAACTACCCAAATGCAACTAAAATGACATCAATTGTTTATGTAATACAGTAGTAAATGGTTCTTATGTGGTTTCTTCATTGCCACAATTATTCAACCCCTTAAAGACTACCACTCTGAAGAACAGAGGTTCATACAGGTGCTTTCCATCAGGTATTGAAAACACCTGTGGATGTCACCGAGCAGCAATCAAGCATAATAAGCACACAATTAGGCAGCTTTAAAATGACTGTGATACTCAGCTCCTTCTAGACATTTACTGGTGTGGTTACAAACATGGTGAAGGCAAGAGAATGGTCCAGGAAGACAAGAGAAAGAGGTGATTTCTCTTCACAGGAAGGGCAATGGCTATAAGAAGATTGCAAAGATGTTAAACATACCAAGAGACACCTTAGGAAGCATCATTCGCAAATTCAAGGCAAAGGGCACTGTTGAAACGCTACCTGGTCGTGGCAGAAAGAAGATGCTGACTTCGACTGCTGTGCGCTACCTGAAGCGTAGAGTGGAGAGAAGTCCCCGTGTGACTGCTGAGGAACTGAGAAAAGATTTGTCAGATGTGGGTACAGAAGTTTCAGCCCAGACAATAAGACGCACACTGCGTAATGAAGGCCTCCGTGCCAGAACTCCCAGGCGTACCCCCCTTGCTGTCTCCAAAGAATAAGAAGAGTCGACTGCAGTATGCCAAAAGCCATGTGGACAAACCACAAAAGTTGTGGGATAGTGTTCTGTGGACTGATGAAACA